CATGAGCTTTTTTTTTGCTGGGTTACTTTTTCTTATCTTCAATTTAATCCTTTGCTTTGCATTTAACTGTTGCCCTACGGTCATTCATACCTCACTTTGACACATCTTTTGTTTCTTTGTCCTCTACCACAAAATCTTTAGTTGTTTAATTTCACCTGTCCTCCATCTATTCACAGATCTTTCCTTTTATTCTTTGTTGCCTCCTACTCACTTTCACTTGTTCAAACCTACTTACCATTGGAAGAAAAATATGAGGAGATAGAGTCTGCAAGGATAACTAGGGTTACGTGAGTACCAAAATTTGGCAGATGGAGCTTACGGATAATGTGAACTTGTCCACTTTGCGAAGAATGGCAAGTTGTGTATACTATTTAAATAGCGAGGCATTGCAGAATTCGGTTTTATATTGGGATCTATGCGTCTTGTTGCATGAATCACACAAACTTAGTATGCAGGAACAGCAAGTGATTTAGGAAGGCAGATGGAATATTGTTGCTTATTGGAAGGGAAATGGAATATAAAGGAAGGGAAGTTTAACTGCAGCTTTACAGGGTATTGGTGAGACCACATCTGGAGTGCTGCATACAGTTTTGATCTCAAAAAAATTTAATTGATTTACAACATGTTCAGCTGTTTACTTGACACATTCTTGGGAATGAAAGGGTTATCACATAAAGAAGCATTAAACCTATACCCATTGCAGTTTAGAAGAATGAGAGATATTAAAATATACAAGATCTTGAAGGGACTGCACAGCATGGATTCCAATAGGATGTTTTCCTCTGTGAGGAGACCATAGCCAGGTAATGAAGTTTAAGAACACAATAGAGTCCTTTTTAAGACAAAGATGAGGAAAACTTTATGCTCTCTGAGGGTTGTCTGAATGTGGAATTTTCTTCACCAGTAGGTAACAGAGGCTATCAAGTCTAAAATGGATCATTTTTTTGATGGAGATGGGAGTTAAGGGTTATTGGGATGGGGGAGTGTTGCAGTTAGGAGGGCAGACAGGAAATAGAGCTCACACCATGACAATATCAGCCATGATCTATTGAATGATGGTGCAGGCTTGAAGGGCCAAGTAATCCCCTCCTACTCCTATGTTCCTATGAAACATTAATTCCATTCCTCTACATGGAAGCTGCTGAGTATTTAAATGCTGTCAGTTTTTATTTTAAGCAAAACCAACATCCTTTTTAACATTTTAAATTCAGCAAAAGTGGGCAATTTCCAAAGCAATTCTGCCATTAGTGCTAGCTCAGGTATTTTTTTTCCCTCCTGTTCATTTCTAATCGCATTAACCTTCAAGTGAAAGTCAGCTTTATTTCGCTGAATTAAATGAGATGATGCTGCGTTTTAATCTGACTTGCATCATATGTATTATTGTTGATTGTTCTGATGAATTATTATTTACTTTGCAGCACTATTGCACAATCCAATTCATGGGATAATTTACTTAAAGACAAAACTTGAACCCTTCAGAACAGTTTATCATATAGTTAGACTTAAAGATCAGTAATAAAAGCAGTTCTGTCAAATTTCTGTTGGAAAAGTCAAAAAGATCATACAGCTTTAATCCCCTACCCCCACCATCATAAAAATGTACATACAATCTCATCATAACTCATGCACTTCAAGGCAAATTGACAGCATCACTAAATCGAACTGCACCCTTGTATTATTCATGCATGATGCACACCTTATTCATTATTAAGTACAGCATGTAGCACAATCTTTTGCTGAAAGTTCCTCTCAACAGGAAATAGCGAAGAAAATGTGATCGTTGCTCATCACTCTGCTGGTGACTGACACTGCTAGAAGGAAAGTGAGTTCTCTTGATTAATTAATATTTTAGCTGAAGGCCCAACTGCGTTGCGGGCAGGTAACACAATGCTCAGTCATGAATATTTATTCAAAGTCTATCTGATGAGTACTGTCAAATGGCACCCACCTGACACCCTACCACTTTTACAATCAATCACACTCTTCACGATGGAATCAGAGTTCAAACGATTGGGTAACGTGAGCTCGGGACATACATAAGAAGGGATCGATTTCAATCCTTGCACAATATGACAGCAGACCACATGACTATATTCACACCATTACTGACAAAACAACTACATCTTAGCAATGTAACACAAACCCATTGGAGTGGATATGATGATATCATGCCTTCCATTGTCAGTTGAGAGGGATCATCGGTTGTTATTGAAGAAGTCTTAAGTTTTTGGTGGACACCTCAACAGGAAGATGTCAAATGATGAACAAAAACAAAGTTGCTGGAAAAGCTCAGAAGGTCTGGCAGCATCTGTGAAGGAGAAAACAGAGTTAACGAACTGAGGTTCTGAGGAAGGGTCACTGGACCCGAAACGTTAACTCCGTTTTCTCCTTCACAGATGCTGCCAGACCTGTTGAGCTTTTCCAGCAACTTTGTTTTTGTTCTTGATTTACAGCGTCCGCAGTTCTTTTGGTTTTTATTTAGATGTCAAATGAAACTTTAGTAAACTGCACTTAGTGGGAAGAAAATGCAATGAGTACTAAAAATACTGGATACAACTGAGTACTTAAAAATTTAAAACAGCAAAACATTAGCATTTGCTTATCTCAGTCTATCTGCTTCTGTCCTCATTTATGATAGAAACACAGAAAATAGGAGAGGTAAAGGCCATTCAGTCCTTCGAGCCTGCTCCACCATTCAATACGATCATGGCTGATGAAACAACTCATTACCCTGTTCCTGCTGTCAACCCATATCCTATGATCCCTTTAGCCCTGAGGATCATATCTAACTCCTTGAAAACAATGAATCAGTCTGGTGAATCAGTGACGTGGCTGTGTCAAGCCATAGGCAGGAGGTCACTTTTGTGCACACATTTCTCCCCACACCTGCCACCCCGGAAAGTTTTTCCTGTATTATTTCTTTCCTTGAAACCTCCCATGCAACAATCTGCATTCGAAGGGTAACCAGGAACTTGCCTATGCAGGCGTTGAAAGTAAAGAACAGTTCAACAGGAATCTGCTTGGGCACTTGAAGGAAATAAACTTGCAAGGTCATGTGGTTGGTGAACAGGACCAACTAGATTTCTTCATGGAACGCCTGCACGGACTAACTGGTTTACTTTTTACCACAAATGACTCTATGACAGGCGATACGATTTCTGATCACAGTTAATGATAGTCTAGCAATTTTGATAGGTGGCTCTGAATAGCTACAAAGACAACCTCCACGTTCCTTTCCCTCCTAGTTCCGAATCTCCACCTTGCTATTTGATACCTCATCACTGCATTGGAAAAAAAAACTGGTGGAACTCACAATATATAGGAGAACTACCAAACCAAATCATTCTAAAGGAGACACAACTAAAACTGCAGTCAAAGCCATAAAGACTCCAAACTGCATTAACTCAAAATTTAATGTTTTGAACTTCCACTTATTGGCAATGCAGCATCAGAATGTAGTCGACTATAATTTTTAAAGTAAATTCTACATGAACAAATTCATGACTGTTACCACAAGTTATTCAACAGATTGAAGCTTAATTTATATTGAGACATCTGCAGCATGTACATGTGGTCCATGTGTAGATCTGGAGTAAACAACAGAGCTTCCAACTATCACGGGATATAGAAAGTTTATAAAATGCGAAACTTTGATACTAGATAGCACAAATTACAACAGGCTCTATTTGATTTGAAGAAACTGTTTGCAACTTCACAAAAACAAGCTTAACACACCTAAGGAATACTGTGTGTTAACAGAACATCATGTGTTCCTTAAACCTTGTTGCCATTACACAGAAGACATAAGAACAGCACATTCAATCTAATAGATATATAACAATGTTTCATTCTACAAAAGCTTCCTCTAACTCCTCTTTGGCCTTCAGAATTATCATCTAGATCTTCTTTCATCAGAATTATTTAACTTCCCTTAAATGCATTTACAGCAGGGTCCATTTGATTTTAAGAAACTGTTTGCAACTTCATAAAAACGACCTTAACTCACCTTGGGAATATTGTGTATTAACAAGGCATCAACTGCGCCTTAAACTTTGTTGCCATTACACAGACTACATGGAAAAAACAGGACATTCAATACAACAGATATATGAAAGTGTTACATTCTACCAAAGCTTCCTCCAACTCCTCTTTACCTTATCAACATTATCATCTACTATCTTCCTTCATCACAATTATCTAACTTCGCTTAAATGCATCTGTCATTTGCCTCAAACCCTCTCTGATGGATAACAGAAAACACACACACATATCTGAAGATTTTCTTGTGTTGTTCCAAATCCTGATGTTATAAGGTTAACACCTCTTAACCTCAACTCTGCCATTCCAACAAGGGTAAAGATGGGAACCTATATTTTTATGCTTTGCAGATATGTGATGTTCATTTTCAGTACTTTCATTGTTTATTTATTAAAGGAAAATACTTGTGACATAACTGCTGCAGAATTATTCTTAAATAAAATCCATTGATGCTGCTTTTGGCGTCATGTTGTGTTAACATTTCCCCAATAAACTATGACCTCAAGGGATTTAATTTTCCATCAAAATGGAGACACGGGGCAAACTGCGAACAGACAAAAGAGTGATCTGACATTAGGAGAATATTACATAAAATAGGCTGCATATTTTTCCATTTTAAGCCTCTTGCAAAGATAGAAGATGATAAAATGAGACTTAAAGGTTTAAAGCCCGTATCCCTAACCCCTGCACCCATATTAAAGCCGCACTGATTATGATGGACACATGGAACGGCCGATCAGCATGCACCCCGCTCCCCGGCTGTCCTTGTACACCAATTATCACAGTCGAAGGCGGGACTTCCGGCTCCAGCTTAAGGGAATGAGGCGCCGGGTTTCCCCAGCAACAGAAACGGCAGAGAAACGAACCGGTCACTATTCAAACCAAATAGAGTCCGAGTATCCCGCTAACCGTTGTAAGAAACAGAACATCGCCGAAATTAATGGTCAATTGGATGCTCTTACCGGGTATCCCTGTCTGATGCGACATTGTTAACGCGCTGCTTTGGACGATGATTTTCAGAGGGAGAAAGAGACGCCCAGAGTAGCGGGCCGCCCACAGAAGGCCGGCCGGCTGCGGAGGGGGCGTGGCTAGATTCGGGGCGGGGCCACGCACATGGGCGGACCCAACCTCGGGCGGTTTTACAGTGGAGGGCGGGACCACATCAGGGGCGGAATCAGCCTCAATGGGCGGGGAAACCTCAGGGGGCGGAGTCACATTTCACGCCGAACGACTCAGCTGCAGCGCCCTCGCACGCTCACGTACCGACACTACAACCTCGCTTCACATCATATGCAAGCAGAGCGACATCTACCGGTCATATTACGGACACAGCTCTCACCCCAGCAACTCCAAACTCCACCTCCGCAGAGTGCAACCCCTAACATCCACAGTGAGATCAACCCTAACACCAACAGAGACATCACCCTCAACACCCACAGGGAGATCACCCTCAACACCCACAGAGAGATCAACTCCAACACCCACAGAGATTAAGCTCAATATCCACTAGAGATCAACCCCCAGGCGCAGACAGATCAAGTCCAATGTCCACAGGGAGATCAACCCTTGTCTCCACAAGAAGATCAACTGCAATGCCTGCAGAGAGATCAAGTCAAACCTCCGCCGAGAAATCAACCCCAATCCCCAAAGGGATATTAACCTCAAGCCCAACAATGAAACAGGTACAGGTACAGAAAAACTTACCAGGTCTGGCAGCATCTGTGGAAAGAAAGAATTAACGTTTCATGTCCCGTGACCCTTTTTCAGAACAACTGCAAGCAGATTATGCCCAACACCCACATACAGATGAATTCCAGCTTGCTGGCACCACTGTACAGACTTAGCTCTCGTGCTAATATAGATGAGCTCCAAAGCCCCTTGCATGACTGTACGGACATCTCTCACCTGCCACAAACCAGAGGGAAATGAATCCCATCCCCTCAACAACACCACTGTACAACACAGCTGTCACCCCCAACTCCTGCACACAGATCAATCTCACCATCCCACTTCCACTGTACAGACATAATCTTCTCTGACCAGCCTCTCCTCACCTCATGACAGCCACACAAAGAGCACCTCTCCCTCAAACCTGTATTTACACATGGAAATAATTCCTCCCAACCCCACTAATGCCACTCAGATTCAGACACAGCTCTTTCTCACAAGCCCTGTTCTCCTCATCCCCAGCACTCACATGGACAGACACAGTTCTTTCTCACTGTCTGTAGTTCATTCATAGTCATGGTTCTCCTCTACCTTATAGCTATCTGACATAGAACAAAGTAATCTTCAGTTTTAACCCAGCTGCTCCCCATTCTACCTCCAGTTGTGATTGTGGATGAATGTAAAACTTCTAACACCAACAACATAGAGTGTAGCAACCACACAGTTACTTTTTTGGCAGTCAGCGATGAGTGCAACGCCCTCAGTGGGCATGGCCCCAGGCCACCCCTTTGGATATATTTCCAAGTAAGGATGATGCGTGACATTGGAGGACAACTTGTGGATGGTGGTGGTAGTTTCCTGCAGCCCTAGGTGGTAGGGATCACAGTTTTGAAGTTGCTTGGTAAGTTGTTGCAGTATATTTGTAGATGGGGCACACTGCTGCTACTGTGTGTGGGAGAGGGAGTAAATGTTGACAGTGTCAGGTGGGATGCCAAAAGAGTGAGGGAAGAGGGTTTCTGAGAAAGGACCTGAATCTGATTTCTCTCCACAGCTGCTGCCAGACCTACTCAGCTTTTCTAGCAATTTCTGTTTTTGTTTCAAAAGAATGAGTTGTTTTGCCCTGGATGATGAGGTAAAGATGTTTAGGGAAGGCCCTCCAAAACCTAGGGTGCATTCAATCATTAATGATAGATCCTTGGTAACAATAATAGTGCAGGGGTATGAAACTATTTCAAGATATATTGTCTTCAGTTAGAGAGCTAAGGGTAGAACTGAGCGAAGGCGGTCCCACTCAGCTGAATGACCGACTTGTTTACCATGTACATCATCTGGGGTATTTGGTAATGTTCCATTGGGTATAGAGGTGACTGCTGGGCCAATCTGTGCCCAAAAACTTTTGCTACAAAAAGGGCAATATGGCTGAATGGAGAACAACTTACTGTCTTTGCATTACCTCTGCTTCTGATATGCACTTGCTTACAAAGTTGGCCACACTGATTTTTGTTTGGCTGTGCCAGATGCAGCAATTCCGAATTAGTGTGCTAGCCTTCAATGTCAATATCAAAACTACAGAGTGTACTTGCAGCACTTCCTCTGATCACCAGGAGAGTGCATTCCAGGCACATGGTCTCCACAAGAGGTTTGGCTTTAGCAATCAAATGTCAGGCAGTCTGGCTGGATGAGCAGACCAACTCAGTCGTGACTGTATGAGGTGAGCACCTTAGTGTTACAGATATATTTTGCAATAGAACCATCAAACTATTATAAGGAATTTCTCAAGACAGCCAAATCTTTCCATTACCTTCCAAAGTGTCAAAGACCTTGGACAGGCCAACAAATGTAGTTGAGATGTTGTTGAAAGCGATTCAGGAGGATTCTGGTAAAGATTTTGCCAGTGATGGAGAGAAATGAGATTCCTTTAATGTTAGTCGCAAGATTGCAAAGTACATTTCTGCTTGTACAGATGAACAAAGAGGCATCTTTATATTGTTGTGGGACATCCCTTGCTTCCATATAGATTGAAAGATTTCAGAGAGCAGCTTGATTAAGCCTTATAGCCCTCAGCTGGGATACTATCAGCTCCTTAAGCTTTGCCAATGCAGGTGTTTGATCCTATTTATTGTTTTCAATAGTGTGAGAGAATCATCAAGAGAAAGCAGTTGATTCAGTTTGTGGCAGCTTACTGATTGCTTCTTCATTGATGGATAATGGTCAGATAGCAATATGCTTAAAGTGTTCTGCCCTGCTTCCTAGAATATGGGCTTTTTTGGCAAGCAGAATTGAAGATTACTGATGAACTAGTAGTCCATAGATAAATTTCAGTTCATCGTAGAATCTCTTCCAGTGTTAATTGTTCGCACGTGACTGAAGTTCATCTGCTTTCAGATTCAGACAACTATACTGCATTTACACCATTTTATATCCTACAGAGGTTTTAGTAATCATTGTGGTTGGATGGTGCTGAATTATTATTGAGGTAATTGAGGTAGATGCAATGTTTCTCTGGATTGCTTCATTATTTTTATTAAAATCCTCTTGATGCTTGTGAGACGGAGGCCCAAGAGCCTACAGAGCAATGGAATACATTAGATCCCTGAAGGTTGCCCAGTCGTCCTTAACGCAGTAAGTGTCCATTCTCTGTTTACCGAGACAACACTCAAATTTTTCAGAAAATGACCTTCACGACTGCCTGTTGGGGGCATGAGATTTTTAGATGCTTCTGATTTTCAGGCCCTGGAGAATAGATCTTCAGTAAGAGGGTAATCCTTCCAGCAGTCAGGGCTGCACACATTCATTACATGCACATTGTCTATATCCCATTGTCTGGTGATAGTCGCTTAGATCGCAAAGCACAGAACTAGAGTGTACCCAAGACATCTTGATGCAAGTAGGAAGGTGGAAAGCCGTTTGGTGTTTAAGGACTCATGCACAGCCACAGCTTCAACAAAGGGAGACCATTGCTGCTGCAATAGCCATCCCCATATTTTTCAATGACCCTTTCCCATGCCTGATGATCTTGTATCTTCTCTTGTATTGAAATCACTAAGAATGATTAGCTTGCCGAACTTTGGCACAATAGCAGGCAAGGAGTAGAAGTCCTCATAGAATTTATCCTTGACTCCATGAGGGCATGTGGACTGATACGAGTTGCATGTCTGTTGCCGTTTAAGGGAGTTAAGCACCATCAGACAATCATTACTACCCTTGGGAAGGTAAGTCAACTTACTAGTAAGATGGTTAACAAGAACACACCAGCTTCTTGCAGTTTTTCCTTTCTGTAACCACTCCCAAAAAAACATGTAACCTGCATGGGATTTCCTTGAGTTGATGTCCCTGTGAAAAATGGGTCTTGCTGAGAGCTGTGATCTATGTTTTGTACCTAGCCAGCTCTCTCAGGTCTGTCGACTGTCCTGTTGTCCCTGAGGACACACGTTTTCCATGTATTCCATACCTTGGCCATTTTGGGTGTGGGCACAGCCACACTCTTTTCCACTTTGCAGTTGCAATTTCCCAGATGATGAAAGATTTGTTGGACAGTTATTTCAGGCGCAGCCTTTGTGTCAACAAAGCGCCAAACATCCAAATGTGCTCCATGACAGACCTCCCCATCATCGACCCTGTAGACTCCACACCTGTTCAGGTCACTACTCAACCCATTTACATGAACCTGTACCTGCCCAAACCCCCTTCTCCCAGCCCCTGACATATGAGATACCTATGCCAAGTGTGGTCATACAGTGCTCACTGCTGGAAACTAGGTTGATCCTTATTAGGGATGAATACCACACCCACATGATCTCCTTCCCATCCATGCTTTACCGTATCCACACCAACATCCCTTTACAAATACATTGTTCCCTTTCACAAATGTCAACCTGCTGCCCAGCCTGTCTCCAATCCTCACTAATGCGTTCCTTCACTTAGTCCTCTTCCCAGAGTAGTGGAGTGGCCCCTTTCCCCCCAGATCCTCCCCTTACCGTTTGTTTTTATTGGATGGACCTGAAGGACTGACCGTAGCCAATCCTTTCAGAACCTCTCTGGGCAGCTGAAACGATAGTCATCCAGACCCTTGACTGATGCCTGTACATCTCGCCAACTGTGTTAGTGCTGACTGTGACCAATTACCCGCACTGTGGAGGCATGGGCCCCCCTGACCAAGAGCACTCCAGCCATGGCCAAGCCCCTGCACTCTTCCTATTTTGTATGGTCTGATGGTTGGCTTGCACATCTGGTTTGTTTGCTGTGTAAGCTTCTGGCACATGGTGCATCCGTGAGACTGAGAAGCAGTGTACTGTACAGGAAGACACCTGCTCTTTTGACTGAGGACTGCTGACCAGCAAGGCAAGCTCTCTGTCTCTGTAATTGTGATGAGGTAATGATTCTGTGAGGCTCGAGGCAAGTGCATGC